ATTGCAGCCTTCCTTTAGCTCTTGAAGCCACTCGGATTAGAATTTAGGCGGAAAACCACAAACTAAGGCGCCGGCGACGACGATTTTCATCCACAAGAGTACGTCGTCGTTTACTGCATCTCTCAGAGATTTGCAGACACGACTCACTCTCAGAAGTTCAAACAGAGGAAGATAAGCCAATACGAAGAAAATCGCTTCATTTGGCGACGACGACCCTTGTAATAAACGAGTCTCCTCTTCTTTCTTCTCCGCCATGTATGAATACTTTGATTCTTTGAGAAAAGAATACTTTGTACAAGAGTTTATGGTTTTGAATTGTGTGGAGAGAGGGAGGAGAGAGAGATCATTATTTAGAGTTATTAGCAGCGAACCCCCGTGTAATATCTAATTGTCGAAAAAATCCTTATATTAAAATAATTAGTAATAACCCCCTAGTTACGTTTTACAAAGCATACACCTTTCTTACATTAAAGTTAGTTTTTGACTTAAATGAAATGACATTACTCCTAATTAATTTTAAAAAATATTTCAATTTAAATAAATAAAATGAATTTTTTCATATTAGATATCAAAGAAGATCATGAAACTTTTATTTTGGGTCTTACAAAAATATATGTTGAATTTATAATTTTCTAAATTTATGCCCCAAGTCGAGAAATCCGAGCCTGCAACACACATGCAGCTTGTAGGAGCCTTATTGTCTTTGACTAATTTTTATAGGGTTTTTTTTGCTAATATCTTTAACACGAGGGTTTTTTCAATAATTAGAGATTATACAGGGGTTATTCTTGCAAAAATCCCTTATTATTTATCCAGTAGTACTAGAATTCTTGTAAGGGAGGCTTTCACACATTGACATGGAAATGTATGTCGGCATATGAAAAAATATCATAAGACACCATATAGAGACAAATAAAACCATGCCCATTTTCAATTTCTTGACTTTCTTGGTTTGCAATAATCCAACTACACAATATAATCTAGACACTAATAAGAAGAGTTTGTTGCAGTTAGTACCCCTGTATTATATGGAATTACTAGAAAACTACCTCATACTATTTTGTTGGCAAAAACTCCCATATGATATAATTTTTTTTAGGAATAAGTGCCCCTGTTTAGGGGGTTTTGTGCTAAAAAAAGTTGAATCAAGAGGGTTTTCGCCAATAATATAATATGGGGTGGTTTTTAGCAATTCGACGTGATACAGGGAAACCAAGTGCAATAATAATTAGTCCCTAATACGAATTTTGAAAACTAATTGAACAAAAACCAGAGAATATTCCAAAATCAAGAATGGAGTGTGTTATTGGTCTAAAGGCTCAACGGCGGTCTTGAAGAGTAGAACGTAGACTTTATCGATAGAGAAATACAAGAACCCTCCTATGGAATGCGTCACGTATGAACCGAAGCTTGTTCCGACTATGCAATGCCAAGCTGGACCGTACGTCGTGTCGAATTCCTGCGAATCCAATAATATCTTGTCATATAACTTAATTCACTAATGATATGCTTAAGGATCTTAATGGTATTTCAATTATTGTATATAGTTTGATAAAATTATAGCATGTTTCAAACTAAAAGTGATTTTTTTATATGCTTCCGCATTTTATTCATTTTTTTATCTATATATTTTTCCAGAAACATTTCATTCTTCAATGTTCTTCGAACTGAGTAAATAAAGTACAGTAGCATACATGTGTAAGAAAATTGGTCAGCTGGACAAGAAAATGGTCAAAAGCAACTTTTACTTGGGACAGTTTTCATACTTTTACCTCATAGGACACAGCACAAAAAAGGGACCACCAAAAATAATAATGTTACAATTAACTCTAATCACATAACCAAATAACAAAGGTTAAATTACGGCGAACCCCTGCAATATAGTCAGATTACGAAAAAATACTTCATTTTCGGTTAATTACAATCACCCCTTAATTATGAATCTTCTCACACGTTCACTCTTGTGTGGTGTTAAATTTAGTGGCATCTTCTAGATTATGTGAAATATTCTCCAGTTTGTATCCGTTTTACCTCATTCGAACTCTCACATATTGAGACTAGATAATCATAACATATGTGTCTCTTTGCTTGTACATATCATGTCATAGTGCCTAAAAAACTGCATCTTTGCACAAAACGAGTGCAAACTAGAGAACATTCCACGAAATATAGAAGATTCTATTGATTTTTGACACCATAATAGC